ACAGCTTATCAAACCCCTCACCCCCTAGCAGCTTAATATAGCCCATTCCTTTGGTTTCTCTTCTTCTTGTGGATTACTATCTTCCCCTTCACCCAAGTTAATACCCGTCAACTCTTAAGGCAATTGCTTCATCTTCCCTCACTCTTCCTCCCCACATTCTTGATACCCTCATCTTTGTCTTTTTTTTGTGTGGTCTGAGAAAATACATTGTAAATTCTCAATTTTTTAACATTTTGGGTTTTTTTAGACTGACTTTGTGTCCTATCATATGATATAGTCTAGAGAATATTCATGTGTATGGAAAGAATGTATGATGTGCTGTTGTTGGGTGGAGTACTCTGTATATGTGTAGGAGTTGGTTAATTGTGCTGTTTGGTTCTTCTGTGTGTTTATTAAGTTTCTGTCCTGGTTATCTGTCCTTCATTGAGAGTGGTGTATTGAAGTCTTCTACTCTTATTGTTTTGTTGTCTTGTTTCTTTCTTCAGCTGTGTGAGAGTTTGATTAATATATTCTGGGATCTTTGATTGTATATATCTTTGTTGTGGTTATGTCTTCTTGTTATATGCTTGCTTTAATCTTTATTTGGTGTCCTTTGTCTCTCATGATAGATTTTGTTTTGAAGTTTATTTTATCAGAGATTAATATTTCCACTCTTTTTTTGCTTGCCATTAGCTTAATATATTTTTTGCACTCTTTGATTTTTTAGTGTATTTTTCTCTTTATGTCTTAGGTGTTCTAGTAGGCCGCATACTGATGGGGCTAGTTTTCCTTTGCAATCTGCTATTCTGTCTCTTTATTGGCATGCTTAATCCATTTACATTCAGTATCATTATTGATATGTGTGGATTTGTTGCTGTCATTTTGATGTGTGGGGGTTTTGTGGTTTTATTGGATTCTTTGCTTTCCCCCACCCCACTATATAGCTGTGCTGTTTTGAATGTTGTTGAAATGTGTTGATTTCTAAGTGGTGTTGTCTTGTATGTTTATCTCAGTTTTGTATGCTGTTGTTGTTGACTCCCTGGCCAAAGTTTCCCTTTGATACTTTTTGTAATGCTGGTCTTGATTTTACAGATTCCTTTACTGTCACCTCATCTTGAAATACCCTTCCAAGATCAACAGTTCGAAACTACCAGCCAACCTGCCAGAGAAAGATTAGCTTATTTACCCTGTCCTATATGGTCATTTGAGTTGGAATCAATTTGATGGCAGTGAGTTTGAGTTTTTGAAAAATACCCTTATTCTCCCTCCCTCATATTTAAGGGATAGTTTTGCTAGATATTAGATTTAGGGTAGCAGTTTTTAGTTTTTGTTTTTTCTTTCAGGGTTTTGTATATGCCATTCCATCATCTTCTTGCCTGCAGGTTTTCTGCTGAAAAATTCAAGCTTATTGTTATGAACTTTCCACTGTAGATGACTATTCTTTTTTCTCTAGCTTCTTTAAAGATTCTCTTTGTCCTTGATATTGGGGCTTTGGTTGTGATATGTCATGGTGTTGTTCTTTTGAGTTCTATCCTCTTTAGGGTGCTCTCAGCTTCTCGAGTAGTTATTTTCTCCTCTTTTATGCTGTTGGGTGAGTTATCTTACAGCAAACACTAATTTGTCTATCAATTTTTTGTTGTTGTTTCTTCCTACTCCAGAATCTCAAAGAGATGGAAGTTGTTCACATGATATTATTCCTTATAATTCTTAGGCTATCTTCAGATACATTTGCTCTTTTCATTGATTGTTAATATGGTCAGTTGTGGTTGATGAATTTGCCTTCAAGTTCACCAATTAATCGTTCCATATTTTCTATTCTATTTATTACTGTACTTTTTAAAAGTATTGTCTAATTCTGTTATCTTAGTATAAATTTTCTGGATTTCTGTTTATTTTCTTTTGTTGTTCTTGAAAGGTTTTTAGTTTTCCTATTTTTTCATAAGTCCCTTGATCTATTTCTCTAGCCACTGTAAGTACCAAACATCATTATTCTGATTTTTCCCTGGTAATTCTAGAACCTTTACTTCTTCAAAAAATGTCTTTGTTTTTGAATATTGTTGATTTATGTGTGCCTATTTTTCTTGTGTATGTGTGACTCTGTCGAAAGGTGCAGGAGAACCACAATAGGAACCAAAATCAAAAAAAGAGAGAGAATAAAGGGTTAAAAGGAGAAAAGGGGGTATTAAATAAATTAATTTAAATTAATTTTAGAGGTAAAAGGCTTACCTTTTTAAAGGTAAACAAAAATTCATAAAGTATACTACAAGGGAAAAAATGAGATCTTCCCATAGTCCTACACATGCTTTAAATAGTAAACTGTATTATAGCGGTCAACTTGACATTTTCACAATTTTCTAAATCTTCTCATAAATGTCAACCTCTTCCAGATGTTCACATGTATCTTCCTATGAAGTTATTTCAGTCTTCTCGGCCTGCACTCAATTTACTTGACTCAACTCATCCCCTACAGGATAACCAGGTAAACTTGAACATAAGGG